AACTGTAAATATTTGAAATTCCCCCTCCAAAAACTAAAAAAAAAAAAAAAAAGGGCTCCCAGTAACAAAAGATGAGGAATACTTCGCTGTTTCACTGCTTGTGCTTCATATCTTTGTTCTCTTAAAGAGCTATAGTATTCTCCCACTATATAGTTTTAGTAAAAAAAACTCATAAATTAAATAAAAATCCTCCTCTGAGTCTACCAGTTGATCCTTCTAAGGTGTCATCTAGCCCTGAGCCAAAACGTAAAGTTCCTTTAAAGGGAATCCCACACAGCCAAAAACTGCCTCTAATTTTGCACCAGAGTTGGCCAGGCCATTTCTGGTATTTTGTATACATTCACAGGACTTGAAGGTTTGTTAAAGACCCTCCCAAACATATAACTGGCTGTATACATCCCTGGCAGTTAAAGGGTTAACATTACACTGCTCCCTAGTGATATCAACCAAGGCCACAGTTCAGCCTGTGATATTATTGAACAAATTGTGTGGTCTGGATATGCATATGAGCAGATTCCTATGCAGTCTGTAATCCAGATTTCCACAAAAAAACAAAAGCAGGGGCAATAGTATACTCAGGTTCCAGGCTCTTTGTGAAAGGGAGTCCATCTTTACCATATTGACCATCGAGTTCGAGGAAGCGTATGTCCCCAAAGGAAAACTCAGATTCATTAACAATGTTAGAAAGAAAAAACATCAACAAGGGCATATTCATTCCAAAATCTAAAGCTTCCCTCATCCAAAGCAGCTGTTCTTGTAAAGAGTAATCTCTTCTCAATTCAACTTGATAGAACAGAAAAAAAAAAAACTCCCAAATTTGGAGTTTATGATATATGGCATTGTTGGTTCCGTCTGTAGTAAAGATTTGGAAACATTTTCCTCCTCCACATCCTCTTTACCTGATAATGGAAGGAAAAAAGGAAAACACTTTGGAAGATAAAAAGGACAACAATCAACACCAAAACGACTCCCACCAGTTTGTTAATGCCTTCTGCTACAAAGGCTTCTTTCAGGGGATGGACAATTTTTCGACATTGCAATATTTACTCTTGTACTGTCAAAGGTGAAATAGCTTTCTCATGAACTTACTCTGAGATACAGTACAGCCCAAGCTTTTAGGCAACAAATACATTATTTAAAGCCTTGCCTAGAAGAGTGTATTCAAAACCAAACATCACAAGGCCCCTGGACAATAAAATGTTGGCAGTTGCAACCCTTATTACCTTACACCATATTTGTGCAACTGTTTATCAACTAAAAATTTCAGTAAAAAAAAAAAGCAGTGAAATAGTGCACAGAAACATAATATGATTGTAAATTATTAAAGATAAAGTTGCGTGGAGCAAATAGATATACAGTAGCAACCAGCAATATGTTTAAAAGTCCATGCTGCCACAACTGTTGTACCTTTCATCTGTGGCAGCAAAAGGGTTAAAACATCATCCATGAACAATTTGGGGTACCAAAGTTTTTCACCGTTTCATGGGCGTACGCAATTTTGAGGCTTGATATTTTTTATATCCACTCACTCAACACAACCTCCTCTTATATATTTTACCAAAATGGTAGCTGATATTGTGTTTGTGTGCACTAATATTAATTTGAGTTTATTTTTACAAAAATTATGGTCCTGATAAATGATTGTGCTAATATGGTGCGACATTAAAAAAAAAAAAAAATTCAGATCCATTTTTTGAGGGATTTAGCTCATTTTCAGGCCTATAATGTGCATTTAAACGTTGGCAAGTAAAGAGTTTGGCTGCAAAAAGGTTGCAGCCCAACGGCAGTTTTGTTTTTCTTTCTAAGAAATAATAGGTATGCAGGGCTGCATACCTATTATTATTACTTATAAGCTGGACCACAGTGTCTATAGTGCAGCAGCTGTATTAATATCTATTAGTTCTCTAGGACTACCCATAAGCGCAGATTTTACATTTTTCTCCTTGTTTTTCTTTCTATTTACATAACACAAACTATTCTTCCTTTCGTCTTTCTGCTGGTCTGCTGATTTCATGGACCTTCCTCCTATCCTCCGGCAGTGGATGTGGGCAGTCTTTACTCCTGGACAGTGCTGTAAATCAAGCCCAGCTTGATGACATTGCAACAAGAAGTGGGAGGGAAGACATTAGGTGACATCCAGAAGAGAACTGGAGCAAGAATGGAGAGCAGCTAAATATCTGGAGGACAGCCTTGGAGAGGAAAAGAGGATTGCAGCCATTATGTATTTATGTTAGAGAAGGGCTTCAATGAGTACATGCCTGCATTAATCCGTGTCTTTTATATCTGCCTGGAGTTCAGCTTTGAAGAAAAAGGGAGGATATTTAAAATATTCGTTAAATGGTGTCAGAGATAGAACCCCTTGGAGGACAATGTCAGAAAGGCTTGAGGTCAAGCCTTGCTTACAACACACTGATACTCTTTCCTAATCTTTAACTTATTTATGGTTATTCATCTCTAAATTATGCAAACAGAGAACAAAAATAGCGCCCTCTCTTCGTGTAGTACCGTTTATTTGATCAATTACATTTGATGTAAAAATTGTTCAATGATGATACGAATATCAGTAATAGACTTTTTACTGTAAGCAGACTAGAGGCCACCACCTAAAACTGGAGGAAAAAGGATTTAACCACAAAGGGCTTGGGAGCTTCCTTTCTGTTAGAGCGGTAAAATTGTGGAACTCTCTTTCACAAGCAGTGGTATCAGCAGAGAGTATTGAGTCATTCAAAAATCATTTAGATAGGAAAGAGTGTTACTCACAAAAATCCATCTGTATAAAAAGCATGCATTCATCAAGGACCAATCGTCACAGAACCGACCAGACTTCAGAGCATCACAGGAGGCAATGGATATGGCTAGGTTGACGCTTTTCAATGGCTAAACCATCTTCTTCAGAACCAAATACATATCTGACAGATCCATAATCTGACCACTCTCTCGATATACATGCCCATAACCTATTAGTATGTACCTGCCCCTTAATGGGATTGAAGGACAGCTGCTAATTGCCCAATTACATAAAAGTAAATGCGCTCAAAAGTTGTTGAATGTTTACGTATATACGCATAGACTATTAAATTCTTTATTTATTTTTACACTTGTATAAGAAAATATATAAGATCCAATATGAACGATTCATTTCTAATAGTGCTTAACACTTTTGTACAGCAGCTCCTCCGCCGACATGCCCCTCAGATCAGTTTACTGTGAGGAGTACATTTCCTTGTTTACCAGACGCTCTGCTCATGGGTTCCCCCACTTCTGCATTCGTGTGGTCGGAAGGCGGAGGCAACTCTCCCGCTTGTCAGACCGGGTACGAGCAGTGTCCATGGCAGTGTCTTTATGTGCTGGCTCCGACTCCGACTATTTCGATATGCATCTCCCGGTAAGGTAAACATTCAACAACTTTTGAGCGCATTTACTTTTATTCAATTGGGCAAATAGCAGTCATCCTCCACTCCCATTAAGGGGCAGGTACCTACTAATAGGTTACAGGCATGTATATTGAGAGAGTGGTCAGATTATGGATCTGTCAGATATGTATTTGGTTCTAAAGATGTTTTAGCCATTGAAACGCTTCAACTAGCTATATCCATTGCTTCCTGTAATGCTCTGAAGTCTGGTCGGTTCTGTGACAATTGGTCCTTGATGAATGCATGCTTTTTATTCTGTATACAGATTGATTTTTGTAATTATCACTCTTTCCTTTATTATAATTTTCAAAAATGGTACTACACGAAGAGAGGGCTTTGTTTTTGTTTTTTCTTTGCATGTTTACTGAGGTATCCAAAGCGGAGATTGAACAGCTGATCTTCGGTGTAATAACAGTGAACTTTCGCTCTGGTCCCCTGGAAAGTGAGAAACTTCTGCCAAGCGCTGTCCATGTTGGACAATACGCTAATCTTTAAATTATGTTTGATCGCTTTATAATTTTGTACAAAATGTAGCGTTTCCCAAACTTGTATGTGAATTCTGCCAGCAGTTATTTATTTTTGTGAAAAAGGCTGAAGGAAAGGTGAGCTGAATTCTTCCTGTTTCATGAACGTAGTAGGTGGTTACTTACCACAAGAGGAGATGCCCAACTGGTTCCAAGGTGTCAATGTCTCTGCCAAGTGACATTAGTGCTTGAACTAGGCCGTCGCCATCAGGCAGGTGATTAATATGTTCAATTGGATTTCTCACTGAACCCCTGGTGACCTCTTACTGGCCATACACCAGTTTTGCTCTGCATCTAGTCTACGCCACAAAAAAACTAACCGAAAGAAGGCCAGTGCACAAAGACAATAAGAAAAAACTAATAATTTTCAAGACAGAACAATCATATATGATAAGTAAAAACAGTATACCTTTTTTGTCTTTTCCTATAGCTTCTTTCAGGGGTTGGTGATCTTCGGCTATCCCGATGTCTGTGCCGCTCCCTTTCAAAATAAAGAGAAAATTGTTCAATAAATAGAAAGGACAAATGAATGTAAATCTCAAGGTTAATGTAAATCTCAAGGCTTAGCATCTATGTGATGTCACTGACTTTAGTACTGTCACTTTAGTACTGTTTAGTACCTTCCTCATGCAAGGTCCTCGAAGCTTTTGCTATTGATGTTGCTTCTGTAGATGAGAAGGGCGTACTTCTGATGACCCCCTGTTCAAAATGGGAGTTCTCCGGGAGCCTTCACAAGCCTTAATACCCAGTGGCACTGATGAACTACAGCAATCCATGATAACAAATGGCATTTGTGCTGTGATTCATGTGCCATTCATGAAGAACTAATTTATTAAGGCAAGAAATCCGCACTGCAGTGCAAGAAAAGCACACATGTCACGCCATGCATTGTGGTACACTGCATTAAAAAGGGTCTCTAATAAACAATCTTTAAAAAAAAAAAAAATGGCCATGGCCACTGGCAGCCCATTCAAAATGAATAGGCTACCCTAAAGCCAGGTATACATGCTTTGAATTTGATGCATGGGTGCCACTGTTGGCACCTTTCCAAACGGCATCCCTCGTTCAGCTGATCGAAAGCATGTCAGAAAATGGTTGGCCGAACCGCGCCAGCAGCCAATGAGCTGCAAACTTTGTTCAAGTATTCTGAAAGCAGCCAACAGTCACTGTCCGAATACAAAGGAGACAGCAGGAGATTCCTTGAGCAACACTCGTAAGCGTTGATGGAGGAATCTGTTCTATTTTCTTTGTTCAGCCGGCAGGTTAGAAGCGTGTTTACCCGACAACACACAGTGTGTTAACACAATGCATAGTGTGAATAGGCCCTATTACTAGGGTGGAGGAACCACCAAGAACCCTTCTGCAGGAATCAGGTTCAAATTCTAAGGATCCACTAAAGCTCACTTGGCCCCTCCATTAACATCCATGCATATTCTTTTATGTAGCTGCCAGGGGAGGAGCCAAGGGGATACCTATAGATTGTCACTTGAGTGACAGGGAAGAGTCTCCTGGGACTGTAGACATCAAATCCCAGATGGCATTGCCCACCAGCAGTCTTAAAGGAGAATTATGAGGTGAGTGATTGTCACTCAACCTCATAGTTAGAGGCGAAGTGTGACATTGAAACTGTCAGACGTCGGCTCTATTGATTGGGAAGTGAGAGAACACATACCGTCGCTCGCTCACTTTGCGATAATTTTCCCGCAGAGAGCGGTGACCGTCAGTCACTGCTCCCCGCAGGGATCCCCCCGATCCTCAACCGTTGAGTGGAGGAATAGACGGGGGAGGAGGCAGGCAAGATCTGCCTCTAGATAGGCAGAACCCGTGGTCAATCAGCCAGCGGAGTGGACCTCAACAGTATTGTAAAAAGGTTACCCCATAGTTCTCTTTTAAGTCTTTTGGTACTCTACAAAGGCAAACAACATGCACAAACCACAATAAAGGAACATATAATTTTATGGTAAGATTTTGTTCAAAATAATGGTCTGGCAACAGGGTCCCTTTAAACATCTAGATAAAAAAGCAAGTGCATAGAATGAATCATATGTTTCCTGACAGATTGTAGGAGATACTGGCAGAAGAACCTTTGGCAGCATAGAAATTATTGAAAAAAAAAAAGAATAATAGTACAGCTACTACTTAAAAGTATTTTTGGCACCAATATTATTTTATTTTGGACATGGCAAAAAGCACCCCTTTGAGTTTTTTTGGAGGTGTCTATGTACCATTGAGGAGATTCTCTTTCACTTCCTGTCCCGGTGGCAAAGTAGTCACTGAAGCAAGTCATCAAGGGACAGGAAGTAAGGGGAAATCTTCTAAACAGGACCACAGATAACAAAAAAAAAAACACCCTCACACAACAGACATTGTAACCATCATCTACTTTATCAGCAAAAAAGTCCACTGCAAAGGCATCTAGCATCTTACCTGCTGCGCTCATAGCTTCCATGACGTGGTGGAGTTCTGCCATGAAAAGGAGTCCTACTGTACTCATACTCTGATCTACGCCGACTACTATCTGGTCGCCTTGCACGGTCAGGACTCCTTCCTCGATCTCTTCGATCACCATGCTTCTCAGAGCGGTGTCTATCGCCATGACTGTATTCCCTATGTCGATGAGCATCGTAATGTTTGCTTCTGTCCTGTGTTCGGTGATCACTCTGCGCTTTATCTGTCTGATATGGACCATGACTTGTGTGTCTGTAGTGGCTGCTGCCTTGAAAAGAAGCTGAATTCTGCTGATAGCTATTAAAGCTAGGTACGGGTTGAGGAGGAGGTGGCGGTGGAGGAAAAGTCTGCGGTGGATATCCAGAGGGGTACACTGGCTGATAACCCACATGTGGCAATGGTGGAGGCATGATAGGTGGTGGTGGCATAAGAGGGGGGGCAATATAAGGATAGGTGCCTTGTGCCGCAGGTGGTGCAGAAGGTGGAGGATTTCCTGGGCCAAGTGTAGATGGTGGAGCAGGAGGAAAACAAGGTGGCATCGGGTAACTTTGTCTGATGGGATAAGTTGGTCTTGGAAGACATTGGTTTACTGTATTTTGGGTAGGCGGGGCAACAGGTGGAGGATAGCACATGTAATCTGGCCTCGGAGGCATGTAACTTGTGTTAGGAAGGCTGGAAAATGTGGGAGGTGGAGTACTTTGCGGGTCATAGCAGTACGGCCCAGAAGACTGCTGCATCTGAGCAGGTCTTACATTTTGTGGCCGATATGTCTGCACTGGAGCTCCAGGGCCTGCTCGAGTCTGTGGTCCTCCTCTGCCTGCGTGCAACGACATGACCTAAAACAGGAAAAGCAAAATATACAGGCAATCAATGTCCGCAGTGAAGACAAATTCTTAAAAAATGAATTTCATGTTTCAAGCGATGATTAACTACCTAACTCTTTGCAGGCAGAACAGTAAAACAGTACATAAAGACAGGCACAATCCCCTCCCCAGCCCAGTCAGATGTGGCAAAGGCATTCACCATTGTAACATGTAGCTGAAGGGCAGTGAATCTCACAGCCACAACTGATTAGGCCAAGCTGGGACTGTCAGGCATAGGTTTGCATGGGCTTGGGTGAACTCCCGTGAACTAGTTTGGACCGATCTCCTGCACAGTATTAGTTATAAGCTATTTGGAAATGTAGATTTATGTGAGGAACTATATCCTTGTGGGGACCACAGTCAAAGTACGTTCTGAGCAAATGTAAATGATACATTTTACATTTCTATAAATCTGGTACTTATAAAATATAATATAGATATATTTAATTTTTTTTTGGGAGGGGGACCGGGATTGGTCTTTTGATAGTAAGGGTTGGTTCACATCAGTAAGCTGTGTGCAAGAAAACGGTGTGTTAGATCTTTACTGAAATGCCATGAATGACAATTAAGTTCTAGTAGTACAATGCAGTTGTACCACATTTTTTGCTTGCGCTGTCTGGTAGAACTCAACAAGATGTCACTCATGACATTTCAACAAAGTTCTTACATAAAAGAGGAAACGGTGTGGTGCACTGTTCACTGTCAGTGCACACCAGCATGCATGCGTTCAGCAAAGCTTGCTGGTGCGAACCAACCCTTAATACAAAAAGACCACTGTAACCCCCTTCAAAAAAAACTTACCTTATAGGCGTTTTTATGCTAGAAGTGCCAGGTGTAAACACAAGACATTTTGTGAATGGAGGATAGTAAGGAGGGGTGAGTGATGTGACCAGAGAGCTGTATAGCTTGGGTCGCATCTCTCCCTCTTCAGTGCCCAGAAGCTGGCCAATATGTGCAGGGTATGGCATGCTACAAAGTAAATTTCTATACTTTGTAGCAGCCTTCTGCACATAACATCCAGATTCTGTATGCCAATTTACACACCCAGTGCACTGTGTAAATTATCATTTTGTCCGGAGTGTGGTTTTTAAAGTGACATTAAGGTCACAAATATTCCCCCTCAATGCTGCTGCAGGGACTTATCTTAAATTATGCCTCTTGATCCTATCATCTTCTTCCTGACACTTGTATTCAGGAGTCCCTCCAGCGCTGGTGTCAGTCTCTGATCCACCGCAGACTCCGGTCTCTTCCTGTCCCGTGGTGTCTATTCGACGTGCACTATGCTGGGATGCCTGCATTGACTCTCACTGTTTCTCTCCTCTTCTCCCCGCCGCTCGAAAACCTTCAGATCTTCGGACGGGAGCGAGCGGCGGAGACAGAGGTAGGCAATAACCTTTTTGACAACTTTTTTATGTTTTTGCATATATCTACTGCTTACCGTACTTGCAGTAGATTTATGTAAACACAAAACAAACAAAAACTAACGTTTAATTGTACTTTAAGAATCATACAGTACAAAGTACATTATGCATCACACAATTTTGTATTGTTTATGATCTGAGCAGGATTTTTCAGTTGAAAACACTGGGAACTCCAGCCTTTTATCCTTTAGAGCCAAAGAAGGGGCCATCTTAGCCTAAATTTGGATTGCAGTTGCCACGGTGCTGCACATGTGATCCGCTATGACACCAGCCAATTGAGGGTTTGAAAGGCAAACTTGACAGTTGTCAAGCCTTAAAAGTAACCATTTTGGGAGAAATTAGAATTGGTAGGTAAAGTTTTTGTACTAGCCTTCAGTGATGTAGTGTGAGCCCAGCCTGATCACTTGCAGCAGTGGCATTGACTGCCTTGGAGCTACACATCACAAAGGGGCAGAGGGTGCCCCTGCCGCAACTGATCAGGCCAGGAAGGGGTTATGTCAGTCACAGTTTTCCACGGGTTCAGGCGAACCAGGTTTGCACCAAGCATCCCAACAACACTACTGACAATAACTCCGTCATGTAACACTGTACCCAAAATTATTTTTATAGACGCTCCCATTGCAGTCTTTGGAGCCGAAAAGGATTCTGCTGGGAAAAAAAAAAGCTTGTGTACTTTTTTTTTTAGCTACAAATGACCCAACGCTCAGGCATGAACTGGCACCATTGAAAATAATGGGATTCTCCATGTTGAGCATTGTTACGCTTCAGGAAACGCACAACACAACGCTCAGCTGTGAATGTGGACTAACGTATGGCTTCAGCAAACACGATAAGATCATGATTGTACACAAAACCTATGAATGCATGATGGATCAGACACAGAGAATCCTTGTAGATCCTAATAGGGAACCCACGATGTGTAGATTTGAATCCAAAGGCAAATCGTTTAGTGTAAAGAGAACGAGCCATCTATTTCTGAAATGCAATGAAAACAATGACACCCCCAAATAAAGGAAACACTACAAGACATCAGTAAACTCCACCACTCACCAGGCACAGGCAATAGACGCAAAAGCACGGGATGTCCCGCCCACCATTGAACCGGAGACAGGTCACATGAAGCAAAACGCAGCACACACATTGGACAAACACTCTGCCACTCAACCCGAGCTGGAAGCGCCGAAAGCCATTTTTATTAAGGGAAGCTCCTGTACGAAAAGTGTGTGTAGCGCTTCATAACATGAATGGAACGGGGTCGTTATGGCGGAATGCTATAGCTTGAATTATGAGAAAATGGCTCAAGGCATTTTAAAATGAAGACGAGTGTATACGAGTTGAGGGAAGTGTGGAAATTTAATTTTCGACATGACTTTCTATGTGTGGAAACTTTGCTGGGTCTGCCCTCATGAAACATGGCAGCGTTTAGTCTAGCGTGCAGGTAGCTGTACAGAAGAGTGTCAGGGTGACGGGCTGGTGAGGGAGAAGCCTGCAGGATCTCGGTGTGTATGCTCAGTGCTTGGATCCCTCTTCTTGAAGAATTATGAGTAGCGGCCCGGCATTGGTTCCTCGCCTTAGGAAGTATCAGGAGCTGCCGGTGTGGGTAGTGGAAGATCACCACGATGTACGTACAGAGGGCATCTTCCTATTGTAGAGATCAGGAGTGTGATATGATTGTATGCGATGATCCCCTAAAGTCAGCTATCTCCCTGAGAGTGACAGTGACACCTGCTCTATAATGAAGACCCACCATGACCTTCCCTGCAGGGCCAACAAGTGTCAGCACTAAGTGCATGGCTGAGGATGGGCTTGTTCTCTTTCCCTATAGATAAGGAACCATACATGACAACTGTCCCAGATTTGTTGGGTCAATCCCTCACCTAGGACCTTTATTGCTGTCTGTGTCCCTGTTGGGGAGATTCATCCTCCCTATTGGTCCTGATGACCGTTATCACTGAAACTGAAAGAAAATCCCACATTTTGGGTTGTCACCAGACTCTTTCAATGGTTACACAATTTCTGCTGACCACTAGGGCTTTTCCACTTCCTGTTGTGGCTATCGCACAGGAAGTCACAATGGGACACAGATGGCAAAAAAAAAAACTGGCAGGGGTTATAACACTCCCTTACTCTGCCCAAACTTAAATTAAAAAGTTTTGACTTCAGTTCTATATAAAGATATCTATATCTAGCTATATATAGATATCAGCAGGAAAGGAAGTGAGTGTAAATGTCACAAAATGATTCTAATCCTTTCCCACTTATCCATAACGAGGAAAAATGTTTTTTTGTTTTTGTTGGACATACACCTAAAGCAGAACTCTGGGCACATCTTAACCCTTTCAATGCTCGTTTTGTCTAGGGAGCCAAAAAAAATGTATTATTCTCACCCAGACCACGACCCTAGCTTGCTCTTAGACTTCAGCCTTGCTCCCTCTCTGCTCCAGCAGTCCAAGGTCCTGTTAGTCATCACTTTCTATACAGTCTATAGCAGGGGTGCCCAGTGGGTAGATTGTGATCTACCAGTAGCTCTCAAAGCTGATGCTGGTAGATCAGGAAGGGCGTGAATGGCGGCCCCTTTATTCCATTTTGGTATATTTATTTAGCTCTGCACACATGATTACCTATTAGCCTGATGCTGGCCACAGACCTTACGAACATGCCACACACCCGCCGGTTTTCGAACATGTTCCTAAGATAAAAGTCAAACGGTTGCACGCCTTCCACACACCTTGCGATAATCGTACGATCGCGGGATTGAGTCTGCTGAGCCAAGCTCCCTGACACCTTTCTGGTGGATACTGTGGGTTGAAGTGCCAAGTATTACATCAAAGAATATTAGTATACACAGCCTGTCGCACTACACTGTTTGCAAAATACAGCAAGGTGGGCCAGGAGAGAGAGTGAGGAAAGACAGCCAGGGGAGAGAGAGCGCAAGGAAAGACAGCCAGGGGAGAGAGCAAGGAGAGACAGCTAGGAGAGAGAGAGCGAGGAGAGACAGCTAGGAGAGAGAGAGCGAGGAGAGACAGCCAGGAGGATGAGCGAGGAGAGATAGCCAGGAGGATGAGCGAGGAGAGATAGCCAGGAGGATGAGCGAGGAGAGCCAGCCAGGAGGGGGAGCGAGGAGAGATAG